CATGTCCAAGGGTGAGATGGGGCAGCAGGGGAGGTGAAGGGGAAAAGGAAGTTATAAAGAACCTGATATTTAACTTGGGCATTTCTTCTGTGAGCAGAGGAGAAATGTGATCAGAATTTCATTTTAGAATAACCACTCCAGAAGTAGAGAGCACGAGGCAGGGGAGGGAAAGCGTGAAAACCAGATGGCTGGTGAGGATCTGCTGTAAAAGTCCAGGTAAGAGGCGTGGAATGTATATCTGAAATGAGTGAACTGTATGGTTATGTGACTTATAGCTCCAAAAGCTGTTAAAAAATAAGTCTAGATGAGAAATGGTGAGAGCCTAAACTCAAACCATGCCAATGGTAACAGGGAAGAGAAACTCAACAGATATTCAGAAGCCAGAATCAGCAAGACTTGATGCGTGATGGATGGGTGGGAGGGAGGGCTGAATTCAGATGTGGGAACAAGACCAGGAAGAGAGAAGAAAAATGGAATCATATCACGCGATGGAAACAGGCACCTAAGAGAAGGCAATTAATACTTAAGTAAGAAACTTCAGCACAAACAAAACCAATTCGGTGTTATTATGAAGAACCAAGCCCAGGGAAATGCATGAATGAGCTGATGGAGACATGAGTCAACTGCTAAAGGATTAACTCATTAACAACGGTGGTACTGTGAAGTCATCACTTTTTCACCTCCTCCTCTGTGTCAGACCTGGTTACATCACTTCTTGTGTACAATACCAATGCTCTCATTTTACATCTAAGGAAACCAGGGTGTGCAGAGATTAAGGGGAAGAGCTGAAATTCTAATTCATCTACCTCCTGACTCTGACACCCCAAGCTACTACCATGCTGCTATACTGCCTGCTTAACAAATGATGATAGAATGATAATAAAGATAACAAAAGCTTCATTCTGCCATTGCAGAGATGGTTAGAACTGCAGCTCACATGCACTGTACCTTGATCAAGTGCCCAGCTCTGTGTTTGGCATTTTACATGTACAGTATCTTGCCTTGTAAGAGTGATAACAAGACCTGCAATTTGTTCAGCACCTGCTCCATGCCAGACACTTGTGATTAGGGTTACACATGTGCCATTTCTACTACACTCCTCAGAGCATCCCTGGAAAGGATGCTGCACTGGGCTCAATACGCAGTCAAGGAGACGAGCTTACAAGACAAGGTGACTGGCCCAGGGCCACAGTGCATTAAGAGGCAGTACAGAAATAGAATCTCGATAGTTTGAAATATCTATATGTACATACAAATACAGAGGTAAATCAGTCAAGAGACAGAGAGCAAGCACATATACGGCAGAATGTTCAAAATTAGTGACTCCTAATAAAGGGATATATAGGGATTATCTGTATTATGCTTGCAACTTTTCTTTAAGTACGAAACAAATTTTTTTTTAAATAGGAAAATAAAGGCTGTGAGTCGGGGCACAAAAGAACCCTAAGGGTTCAGTCCACTCTCAGAAGACACCTCTAGTCATTACAAAGAGATGAGAATCAACTGTTTCTGAGCAGCACTAGACAGAAAATTACCTAACTTACGTTCTTTTGTAAAATAAACTGCAATTCAGTGATATTTTTAAAACTACCAATTAAACGTGCATGGTGCAGACTGGCTTGCTGGTCACCAGAACCTAACCATCAGAAATGCAGTGCAACTTCTAGGTGAGTTAATTCATTTTCACCCTAGAAAAAGAACAGCATTTAGTAGGTGAATTGTTAGCATTCAATATGTTTGCTGCGTCTTGCCAAGTGTAAAATTAGAAGAAAACTGTGAATGCATTTAACGCTAAAATGAAAGATTATCAAACATTTGATATTTAGAGGATTTTAGGCCATTTCTATCTTTTAGGAAATGGAGATCTTTGTGTAATTCTGCATTTAACATAGTGATCCTTTCCTTGAAATTACATCAAAGAAGTGAGCTAAATTTGTCTCAGAAGTGAAGATAATGATGATTATTTAAGAGAAATTATTTAGATACTGACTTAATGCTGTGGGCTGAATTTTATGAAATTCCCAATATTTGACTATTTTTAACCCACAAAACGGCATTTCATATGATTCTATCATATGGTTTCACATACTGGTAGGCTATTCTCTTGGTCAGTCTGTAATAAATTTCTGCAACTATTACGCAAATAAAAGTAGTGTTGAAGTCTCATGAGTTTTTAAAGGAAACACTAGATGGCAGTAAATACACAAAAGTTGTAACATGACACTGAGTTACCAACATAAAATAATGATCGTTTTGTCTTTTATTCAATTTTACATTGCATACTCAATCAAGCTTTAAAAAAAAATCTAAAATTTTCTTTTTAATTAAAAAAAATCCTGGGGCTTCCCTGGTGGCACAGTGGTTAAGAATCTGCCTGCCAATGCAGGGGACAGGGGTTTGAGCCCTGGTCAGGGAAGATCCCACATGCCGTGGAGCAACTAAGCCCGTGTCCCACAACTACTAAGCCTGTGCTCTAGAGCCCGTGAGCCACAACTACTGAGCCCGCGTGCCACAACTACTGAGCCCACGTGCCACAACTACTGAAACCCACACACCTAGAGCCCGTGCTCCACAACAAGAGAAGCCACCACAATGAGAAGCCTGCGCTCCGCAACAAAGAGTAGACCCCGCTCATCGCAGCTAGAGAAAGCCTGCGCGCAGCAACGAAGACCCAAGGCAACCAAAAAAATGAATAAAATTAAAAAAAAAAAAACCCTAAGGTTTCTCCTCACAAGATTTTTAAATAGAGGCTTATTTCTGTTGTACTCTAAGGAACCAGTTTAGATAATGACAGTAAAACAGTTACTTTAATACTATATGAAGAGACTAAAAATGTAAGAGGAGGCATAAGGGTTAGCTCAGGGGAACAACAAAGTACACGTTAAAACTTGCAGATGAAGTGAATACATGAGGATTAGCCAGCAAAATCAGTCTGCAACACTTGAGGTTAGCCATTTACAGGACAGTCTTATGGGCCAGGAAATCTCCCACATTAATTAAGAAGCAGGGTGTGGCAATCTGATTAAGAGATCACCAATACAAAAGAAGACAGTGGTCTAATTAATGGGAATATTCAGGAAGACCGGGCCAGCCAAAAGTCTAGAGAAAGTGAAGGCAAACTCAAGAAGTGGGCAGTACTGAAATCATCCAGCATTGCTCCGAAGTTGGCGATGGACACCAAGATCCGGCTCATGAAAGCGCTCTGCTCTGTTTGAAGGAAGGGATGGTTTTCAGGTATCCTGCGTCTCTCAAGACTATTACACTCCTCCTGCTCTGCTTCTAAAGTTACCAAGAAATCTTCTAACAACCAATTCCACTTCTACTTTTTTATTTATTTTTTAAAATTTATTTATTTAATTTATTTATTTTTGGCTGCATTGCGTCTTCGCTGCTGAGCCCGGGCTTTCTCCAGTTGCAGTGAGCGGGGGCTACTCTTCGTTGCAGTGTGTGGGCTTCTCATTGCGATGGCTTCTCTTATTGCAGAGCACAGGCTCTAGGCGCATGGGCTTCAGTAGCTGCGGCGTGCAGGCTCTAAAGCACAGGCTCAGTAATTGTGGCTTGCGGGCTCTAAAGCACAGGCTCAGTAGTTGTGGCGCACAGGCTTAGCTGCTCCGCGGCATGTGGGATCTTCCCGGACCAGGGCTCAAACCGGTGTCCCCTGCACTGGCAGGCGGATTCTTAACCACTGCGCCACCAAGGAAACCCTCCACTTCTACTTTAACACCTACGGTTATAAGCACTGGAAAAGTCTCCTTATGGTAGATTAACTACCTGGTATTCTGGTCAGTCCCCTATGAGTCTCATGATTAAGTGTAAGTCAGCCACAAAGCCTTATTAGCTCTGGATGTGCTGGCAAAGACAGCTTCCAAGATCTGCAAAGTTAAGGGCCATATCTTAAATCAAGAAGATGCACTGTGAGCCTGGCCAGCTGGCCATCCCCTGTCTAAGGTACCTCTGTTTTGTTCTCTTACTGCCACAGGTAATAAATTGCCTTGCAAATCGCTCTCCAAAATCCTGTTCAACTCACAAAATTCAAAACAGACCTACTTTTACCTGCAAGGCCATGCTTTCCCTTCCTAGTTGCTGCTGTCTAAAATCATTCTCCAAAATGCATACTCTACGTACAGCTTCTATCATGAACACAGATTCCTATCAAATACACTAAAAGAGCAAACAGAGCAAAGGAGAATATATTTCTTTAGCCACCATTACAAATGTACAAGTTCACAATTCCATTTCTTACGGTCAGCCCTAAGTCCAGAATCACTGCTCTATGACCCTACTAAATTCTACTTTGATAAATCTCCACTACTGCTCTATTTTTTTAGTATCTAAAAATGAAAGATCACAATATTCCTGACAACTATAATCACTAGCAACAAAAAAATTCCTGCAAATTCTTCCATTTGCAAACTGGTTAGTGCTTAATTTTCAAGATGTTACGGTAATCTGTATTCAGAAACATGATAAACAAGACAAATATCTAAAAAGTACACAGACAGCCTACTTGTACTTGGTATGTGAAATTATGAGTCTTCCTACACGTTACATTTTGGAGTTTCAGAGTGTTTTGCAATGAATCCCACACCTATTGCAAATGAGACTTAAGTCATGATCAAAAAGCATTTCTTAGGATTTATCTGCTTTAGAAAGTGGAAGCGACAGATTCCCTCACCCTCAAACAGACTGAAAAAAAACCCATTAGATCTATAGAATTCTATTTCAAATAGGATTTATCTCCTCAACGCTAGACAGGCCAGCACAAAGGCTGGAAAAATCAGTCCTGTTAGCACCACGGTGACTTTTTTGTAGTAGTCAATAACCAGGAATGGACAGCCTGGATCCTCATGTGTTCCTATTACCTGAGCCACTTTGCTTTCTTACCAGTAAATGCATGTCGCTAAACTGCCCATCACTGACAGCCAGGGACATCACTGCCTTAGAATAACACAGGCATCTGACGTAGAGACTATTTAAAACAGGTCTAAATGTTCACTTACCTCCACTGCTACTACGATCAAAATGAGGTCGGCTTTTGACTCTGGAAAGAGTGCATTCACTTGTGGTGACATTCCAATCAGAGCACAGTTAGTGACCACAGATATAACACTCATTGTTTCAAAAGCCAACTGAAAGAAAAAGAAAATGTGAAATTAAAGACCATAAGGACCGCTTCCATATTTCCTCATCCTTTTTCGTATTATCTGAAGTCTTTCCTTAGTTCTAAACATTCCAAGGACATGTACAACTTTTTCTCTATAATGCCATGATTTTCGTTAGCTCAAAAAAGCCATACTGTTAGAGGTATTTCAGTTACTTTTGGGTTGAATATCCCAAACAGTATGTTCTATCTTCCCAAATGGAGGTGGCCAGGGACCTGAATTGGGAACACATCCAAGAAAAATACACTATTAAAGTTACTTGACTCTATGCATAGCTAAAGGGAATCTAAACTAGGGACGCCGGAGAGAATGTTTCACATTCAAAAACAGTTAGGTATGATTTCGAATAGAATTCATTTCGTGAAACGGTCCTTCTACTTTGACAGACCATATACCACATCTGGTTCAGCCATACCCAAAGCACCAGCGATAATGATCCCTTCCAAGCAGCATTTACCGAATCACCTGTAGAACTTCAGAAAAATACAGATGCCAGGCCCCACTGAGACCTACTAAGGAGACTGAACTAGGGTCCCATGAAGGAAACTGGTGTGTATTACCGAGTATGGACTATGGAAACATTGTGACCATCGTTCTTTCTTTTCTTTCCCTCTTTCTCTCTTTCTTTCTTTCTTTTTATGTACAGCACTTGGTGATCACTACTTAATAACAATGTCTAATTCTAAGAAATACAATTAACTATTAGAAATACAGAAGCAAAGCAAAACACGATTGGATCCAAACTTAATAAAATCTTGTCCCAGGAAGAATATCTACCATCTTATAATATTTTAGAAATCCTTTGTGTAATCTTCTTATTTTTCCAGTTTTCTTTACAAAAAATCTACTCAGGACTTTATCTTAAAATAGCTTTAAATTTCTATTTATTGATTTATTATAAATTAGTTCAAAAATAAAATGTTATCAGTGTATAGGGAAGAGTCTCCTTGTCCCCTTTCTCCCCCTCGTCACCTCCTGTTCTCCCCATAAGATAATCACTATTATTAATTTCTTATGTATCTTTCCCGACACTGTATGCAAATAAATATAAGCAAACCTGAACATACACTTTCTTACTCTTTTCTCAGCATAATACACATTGTCAAGCCCCTTGCTCTTGTCACTTAAAATGTCTTGGAGGATATTCCGTGTCAGTACTCAAAGATCTCCCTCATTCTTAAGTCGCAACGAAAGACTGAAGTCACAACTGCTTAAGTATTTCATTGCATCAATGTACCAAGGTTAATTTAACCATTTCCTTATTGCTTGCTATTACAAATAATGCTACAACTAGTAAACTTGCAAACACGTCATTTACGAAGTGTGGAAGTGGGATAAGTTCCTGAAAGTGGACTAGTTGAGTCAAAGGTGCCACTGTGTTCATAATTTTGATAGATAAGACCAAGCCGAACTCCCCAGGGTTGACCAGTTCACTTTCCCATTGGCAGCACATGACAGTGTCTGGCTTCCTGCATTTTTAATACATTTCTAACTAAGCTTTTGGGTTTTTAAATATCACCTATACTGAGTTACGATTTACATAAAATAAATTGTACTCATTTATGGTATACACTTCATTAACTTTTGATAAGTGTATTTACCAGTGAAACCACCATCACAAATAGGATATTTCCATTTTCGCCAGAAGATTCCTGGCCCCAAGCAAACCACCCCTCACTTTATACCTGGCCTCAAGCAAACACTGATCTGTTTTTTTGTCACTATATATTAGTGACAAAAAGCAGAATGCAAACTGAAGGAAAAAGCAAAGAAAACAGGACACAAAAATGAGAAAAAAAATTATAAAAAAGATAAGAACAAATAGAACAAAGGAAAGAAAAAAAACAAGGAAAAAACAGAACAGCAAAAAAGTAACACAGAAATAGAAATATAAAAGAATTAAAAATATATTTAAAAATTTTTACACTAAATAAAAAGTAAAAACAAATTTAAAAAACAGAAGAAAAGAACAAAACAAAACATAAAAAAACAGTAATAATTATATTTTCCTAGGGTCTCAGCTGTCAGTGTTCTTCTCCCCACCGTGAGTCACAGCCAACCTTCACCTCCCCAGGAGGCCCTCCAAAACCCCTAAGTAAGTCTCTGGTCCCTCTGTGGGCACTGTGGGGGCAGCTCAGACTCTGACCTGGCCCAACTCCCATGTGTACTAGTCCCCAAAGTCCACAGCAGCTAAAGCTAGACTGATTTCAGTTATGGGAACACTCGTCCATTCAGATATTCCAGACACAGGGTTTACCAGGCCAACTGCAGGGATTTAATCTGCGGTTTGTGCAGCTGCATGGAAAGGTTTTTGTTCCTCTTCCTTAGTCGCCCCGCCCCTGGGGCTCATCTGTGGTTTTAGCCCCACCTCTGCACATGGGCCATCCACAGGAGTCTGCTCCTGAGACTGCCCTGGAGCACTCATGTCTGCCCCGGTGGGGACAGGACGTGGAGGTGGCACAGCTGCCTGGTTTGCAGGGGCCCTGCTGGCGACAAGTGTATGGGAAAGCTGGCAGCCATGGGCGTGAGAGATCTGGCCCTAGTGGGAGCCTTTCCTAGCGCCTGGCAGCTGGTTCAAGAAGGTCAGCCCTGGTGGGGTCTTTTCCTAGCACCTGGCAGCAGGCATGAGAAGGTCAGCTCTGGTGGGGGCTTTTCCTAGCACTTGGCGGGGCAGGGGGCCAGTGCATGGGGAGAGAGAGGCTTCAATGGTGGTTCCACCCCCTGCGCGTCACTTAACAGTGGCACCTTGCTTCTATGGCAGTCTGGGTTTCCTCCACAAGCATTCCCAGTTGTGGATTACCTCTCTCCCATCCCCTCTGGCTGTCTCCTCGCAGCCAACAGCAGTCCTCCCCCTGGGTTTGTTCTCCAATCCCCACGTTCCAGCTCTCAGCCCCCGTGTGCACTGGTGGACTCACGTCCCAGTCTGGGATGCACGGGGCTGTGGCACGGACAATCTGTGTAGATCTTACTCTGTTCTATCTGCCACAGACCAGCCGTTTCATGCTCCTCTGAGAGCCTCAGATGATCCCCTTCTGTCCCAACTGATTTCCTCGTCGGTGAGGGGGCTTCTCCAGATACAGGAACCTCTCCTCTGCTTCAGCTCCTCCCCAAGTGCGCAGATCCCATCCTGCTTCCTCTCCTCTTCTTTTTCCCTTCTTTCTTTTGTCCTACCCAGTTATGTGGGGGTCTTTCTTGTCCTTTCCAGTGTCCAAGGTCTTCTGCTAGTGTTCAGCCAGTGTTCTGTGAGAATTGTTCCATCTGTAGATGTATTTGTGATGCATTTGTGAAAAGAGATGAACTCCAAGTCCTCCTACTCCTCCACCATCTTGGTTTAGCAGCATACAGATTTTAACGTTGTATGTCATCAGTAATTTATTCCTTTTTTACTGCCGAGTAGTGCTCCATTTTATGAATATACCATAATTATTTTTTTTACCCATTTACCTATTGACAGCAAGTTGGGTTGCTCCCAGTTTTGGACTACTGTGAATAAAGTTACTATGGACACTCCTGTGCAGTCTTTGTATGGACATATTCTTTCATTTCCCCTGGATTTCTAAGAGCAGAAGTGCTGGGTGGCATGGTAGCTGTATGTTGAACTTTTTTTACAAACTGCATTCTAGTTTTGTGACCATTATAGTACATCCTTATCAGCAATGTATGAGAGTTCCAGTTATTATATACCTCACTGCCAACACTTGGCATCATCAGTCTTCTTAATTTTAAAACAGGTATACAGTGCTACTGCGTTGTGGTTTTCATGTGCATTTCCCTGGTAGCTAATTCTAAATATTTTCATGAGCTCATTGGCCATTTGTATATATTCTTTAGTGAAGCATTTCTTCAAATATTTTGTCCATGTTTTCATTTAATTGCATTATTATTGAGTTGGTGAGTCCTTCATATAATCTGAATACAAATTCTTTGGCAGACAAATGTATTGTCAACATTTTCTCCCATTCTGTGTCTTGCCGTTTTTCCTCTTAACTTCTGAAGAGCAAACTACCCCTTGACACACACACTTTGGAGACTTAATTATCCCAAAACTATTGATGGACGGTCAATAATTTTCTCCACTGAACTGACATTTCACCTATATCATATACTGAATTTCTGAACTTTTAATCCTGCTCCATTTGTTTGATTGTCTAATGATGCACCAGCACTACACTACTTTAAGAACTGAGGTTATATAACAAGCTTTAATATGTAGGAAGGAGTGTCCCTGCCCTTATTCTTTAGAGTTTTCTTGCTTTTCTATTTCATTTATTTTTCCCTGTGAACTTGACAATAAGTTTACCTAGTTAAAAGAAAAACTTCCATTAGGATAGTGCTACATTTATAAGCTCATTTGTAGATTAATTAATTTGTAAATTAATGGAGAACTGATATATTTAGAATACTGAGTCTTCCTACATTAGTTAGCTATTGCTGTGTAACAAACCATCCCAAACTCTCTGGCTTAAAACAACAACCATTTACTTAGCTCATGATTCTGCAGGTAGACAATTTAGGCTGTGCTCACCTATGCAATTTTTCTGGTCTAGCTGACCTTGACTGGGCTTGCTCATGTACCTGCGGTCAGCTAGTGGGTAAACTGGAGATATCATTGGCCTTACTATGCTAGTTAGAATTTCTAGTACTATATTCCGTAAAAGTAGTGACGGTGGACATTCTTGCATTGTTCTTAATCTTAGAAAGAAAGCATTCAATCTTTCACTAATAAGTATGGCATTAGCTTTAAGATTTTTTTAAATAGATGCTCCTTATCAAGTTGAAGGTGACAGTATATTCTACTGTTGAGTAGAATGTTCTATCATATGGATTAGATTCCTAATTGGATGGTGTTGTTGAGTTCATCGATGACCTCGATGACTTTTTATCCAGCGTTCTGTCAATTGTTGAGAAATGGATGTTGAAGTCTCCAACTGTAATTGTGGATTTATCTATTTCTCCTTTTAGTTCTATGTTTTTAGTTCACATATTTTACAACCTTGTTGTTTGCTGAATATATAAGATTTCTACATCGTCTTGATAATTTGACCCTTTTATCATCAAAGAATGTTCCTTTCTGGTAATTTTCTTTGCTCAGAAATCTACTCTATATGATATTAATATAGCCACTCCTGCTTCCTTACAATTAATTTTTCCACATATGTTTTTTCTACCCTTTTACTTTCAACCTGCTTAATCATGTTTAAATTGGGTTTCTTGTAGATGGCATATAGTTGAGTTATGCATTTTAATCCATTATGTCAATCTTTGTCTTTAACTCATGTCTTTAGACCCTTTACAGTTAATCAAAATATCGACTTAAGTCTGCCATTTCTTCATTTTCTGTGTTTTCATTTCTCTGTTTTCTTCTCCTTGTCTTACTGTAGGTTACCTCAACATTTTTTTTACTACATTTTGATTTAACTATGTTTTTGAGTGTATCTTTTAAACAATATAGCTTTTTAGAGGTTGTTCTATATATAGACATACACACACAAATATATATACTATATTTTATATGTGTGTGTATATATATGTATACATTCAGTCTACTTGTATCATTTAATTTGAGTAAAATACAGAAATCTTACCTTCCTTTATCACTCCCCATTTATAATATAATTGTCATAATATTTTTTCTACATATACTTAGAACCATTAAATAGTGTTGTATTTTTTGGTTTCAACTGTCAAACATTAACTCTAAAGACTCAGGAGTAAAAGGAAAATATATTGTTTTTACTTGTGTTTTTGTTTACCATGTTTTTGCTTCCTGACATTGTCCCTTTATCATTTCCTCAGTTTACAGAACTTTTAGTCATTCTTTTAGGATAGGTCTCCTAGCAAAACATTCTCTTACTTTTCCTTCATTTGAGAGTGTCTTGATTTCCCCTTCCTTCCCAAAGGATATTTTCTCTGAATATAGGATTCTGTATTGATAGTATTTTTTAGCCTTGGAAAATATTGTGCCACCTTCTTCTGGCCTTCATGATTTCTGATGAGAAACTGGCTGTCATTCTAATTGTTTTTCCCCTATAGGTAAGAGGTCATTTCTCTCAGTGCTTTCAAGAATATTTTTCCTTGTCTTTAGTTTTCAGATGTTTAATTATGATGCGTTTTGACATGAACTTCTTTGTTTGGGGTTCACTTGGCTTCTTGAACCTATAGTTTTAGGTCTCTTGCCAAGTTTGAAAAGTTTTGGCCATTATTACTCCAAGTGCCTTTTCAGCCCTTCCTTCTTTCTCCTTTCCTTCTTGGACTCCAATAACAGGAATGTTAGATTTTGTTGTTGTTGTTATAGTCACACAGGTCTCTGAGGCTATATTTACTTCTTCAGTCTATTTTCTCTCTGTTGTTCAGATCAGGTAATTTCTATTTTTCTATTTTCCAGCTCCTGCTTCTTTCCTCTATCCCTTCCATTCTGCTATTGCACCCATTCACTGAGCTTTTTGTTTATTATATTTTCAACTTCTAAAATGTCCATTTGATTCTCCTTTGTGTCTATTTCTTTGCTGAGACGTTCTAATTCTATTTTTTCATGTCTTAGGTGTGTCTGTAATTGCTTGTTGAAGCATTTTTACCGTGACTGCTTTAAGATCTTTGTCCAGTATTTCCAACACGTGTGTGTCATCTTGGTGGTGGCATCTGCTGATGGCCATTTTTTTCATTCAGTTTGGTATCATCCTGGTTCTTGGTATAATGAGTGATTTTTTAATAAAAACCTCGATACTTTAGGTGTTATAAGACTCCAGATTTTGTATAACCTTTTGTTTTAGTTGGTTCCTCTGATACCACTGCAGCAGGGGACAATATCTTGTCACTAGCAGGTAGAGGCAGAAGTCCAGGTTCTCCACCTGGATAGCACTGACACCCAAGGTGGGGAGTGGGGTCATTATTGCTGGAGAGGGGCAAGAGTTCTGGCTTCCCACTAGACTACCACTAATACCTCCTTTGATGGAGGGGTACAAGTCCCTCCTTTGTGCACTCATGTGGCCTCTTGCATGGTATTAAAAGTCTTGACTCTCCACTGGGCTTCCTCTGAGACCACCCTAGCAGGGATCTGAAAGGGAATCTCATTACTGCCAGGTAGGAGTGGAAGTCCAGGCTCCCCAGTAGAAGTCCAGTGTCAGTGATTTCTACTGACACTGCAGTGGGGAGGGCCTCATTAGTACCAGTGGGTGAGGCCCAGCTGACTACTCTCCAAGAAAACTGTCAAAGTTTCACAGCTGAAAGGAGTCATGGAGATTGTAGCTCATCCCCGCCCCCAACTTTAAAAACAAGAAAAGCATGGCCCAGAGAAAGTTAATGACCACCTGAAGTCACACAGCTAGTTTGTGGCATGGCAAGGATAAAATCCAGTTTTCCCAAATCTCTCCATAGAGCTTTTTTTTTTTAATCACAATACCTCATTTTGTTTTTAAAGAAATAATTTTTTATCAGATAATTACCTGCCATACACCAATACTGGCTGAAGGTTCTGAGAATGGGCGTTTGAAGACCCTGCACATTTTTAAGGCGTCTGAATTAACTTCAGTGAGATTATTTAGCACGGCGAAGGCAGCTGCCAGTGGGTAAACACAGGAGAAAAGGCTCACATAACCAAACTGCAGGAATAACTCCAAGTAATCATCAAAGGTGCCCTGAAAACGTAAAAAAGAAGAAAACAGGCATTGTTTTAATATCACTTAATAAGAACAGTCTTTTGCAATACTATTCAAGGCATGAGCATCTAACCAAAAAAAAAAACTCAGAGTTTCTCCCAATTCCTTCTTCTCAACAACAGAATTTACTTAAATTCAAAGACAATTTTATATTAAAGTCTCTGAAATGCAGAATAAAAAAATGATTTAGCTCATAACATGTCGAATCACTGGATTATTACCTTTTTTCCCCTAAGGTAAATAACAGCAAAGCTAAAGAAGTTTGCTCTTGACCAAGTAAAAAGAAATGATCCAGGATCATTAGAAATCTTACATGATGGTCCCTTCACATCATGGGTACCCCAGCATCTCAGCCCCTGACCCTCCATTAAAAAACTGATGGTGGTGATGCCAGCGAAACTGGCAGAGTGAGAACCTCCAGAAGTTTACATCTCCATAAAAGCAAACAACAAATGACAAAATTTGTCAAAAGCAACTCTTTCAGTACTCTGGAAATTAACTAAAGGCTTGCAGCATTCGGGGCAGAATTTAGTCAAGAATAACAGCTCAACCTTGTGGCATTTTAACTTACTCTAGTTTCATATCCTGCTCCCGAGTTCTGTAGCAGCCTCGAAAAATAATAGCATGCATTCCTGTGCCAGAGCGAGGAGAGTGGGGACACAGATCTTTGAAAGCCTCATTCCCAAAGGGAAATCATTATCTGACCTGGCTCTAGAAGACCCCACTCAAAAGCCTTGTCTCTATTTAACTGCACAGAGTCTTCCCAGCGCTAAAGGCTCCTCCCCCAGGGATGTTAATTGAATGTTTTAACATCAGTCTGCTTCAGGTAAAGGGTAGCAGCTGGGGCAAACAACAGACTAGCCAGGGAGCCCAAGAGAAAAGGCTGAAGAATGAGATATCCACAGGGGGTTTGCAAAGCTCCCACATTTTACTGGGAATTGAGAAGATGAGGCACATGCAGAAGATCACACATAAGCTTAGGAAAGATCTGAGAAAGGTCTAAGATCTCACCTCTGACTGACCCTGAAGCTCTGCACAAGCAGAAAGTGAACGCTAGGGCAGAATTTTAAACTTCCTGGCTTAGTATTGAAGGCATGCCCTAACACAATAACAAAGACCTAACAGACATGTATAAAACACTCAATCCAATAGCAGAACACTCATTCTTCTCAAGTGTACATGGAACATTTTCCAGGATAGATAACATGTTAGGCCATAAAACACTTCTCAACAAATTTAAAAGGCTTAAAAATCATACAAAGTAACTTCTCTGACCACAATGGAATAAAACTGGAAATCAATAACAGAAGGAAATTTCGGAAATTCACATACTATGTGAAAATTGAGCAACACACTCCTAAAAAAACAATGAGTTAAAGAAGAAATCACAAGAAAAATTAGTAAATACTTTGAGGTAAATGAAACATACCAAAACTTAATAAGATACAGTGAAAGCAGTGCTCACAGGGAAATTTATGGCTGTAAATGCCTTTGTTAAAAAAGAAGAAAGATCTTAAAAAAACTTGAAATTTTCATCTTAAGAAACCGGAAAAAGAAGAGTAATCTAAACCCAAAGCAAGCAGAAGGAAATAAATAATAAAGATTAGAGTGAAATAAATAAAATAAAGAATAGAAAAACAAAGAAGAGCAATAAAACCAGAATTCGGTTTTTTGAAATGATTGAGATCAACGAAAAATGACAAACCATTACCTAAACTGTGCAAGAAACAAAGAAAGACTCAAATTACTAAAATCAGGAATGAAAGAAGGGACATTACTATTGACCTTTAGGGTCAGTAAGGGGAAGGGGAAGAATTATAAGTAAGAAGAATTATGAACAATTTGAGACAGAAAGGAAGGGGCAGGGTGAAACCATTAAAAGACTGATACAACCATTAAGAGCAGGATACGACAAAAACTGGTTAGAACCTACTAGGCCCAAGATGGTGGAAGAGTCAACTTCCGTAGACCTTGAGCCTCATTATACACTCACTGTAATGCATTAGCATATGCTAAACAACACGCCCACAGGTGCCATGACAGTTCCAAGGCCGCCCATAAAAGGCCAAAAAGTGGGCAGTGCCCCAACTCCTGGAAATCCCTGCTGCTTCTCCAAGATAGCTACAACATTCCTCCCACTCATTAGCCTATGAAACTTCCCAGCCCATGAGAACTAACCATCACCACAACTCAGGGCTGCTCTTGCCTTCTGAGACAGCCTACACTCTTGTCTATGGAGTGTATATCTCTCTAAATAAACCTGCTTTCAGTTTACTATGGCTCCCTCTTGAATTCTTTCCTGTGTGAAGCCAAGGACCCTTACTTGGCAGCCTGCCCCAGGGACTCACTCGAGACCTGGGACATGACAACAATTATATGCCAAAAATAACATTAAATAACCTTGATGAAATGGGTAAATTCTTAGAATGACACAAACTATCAAAAGTGACTCGAGAAGAAACAGAACATCTAAACAGACCTAAAAAAAGTAAAAAGATTGAGTTAGCTATCAAAAAACTTTGCACAAAGAAAAACCCAGGCCCAGACAGTTCACTTGTGAATTCTCTCAAACACTAGAAGAAGAATTAATACTAATTCTTCAAAGTCTTCCAAAAAGAACAAGAGGAAGAAACACTTCCCAACTCATTCTGTGTAGCCAGTCCAACCTCAATAGCAAAACCAAAGACTTCATAAGAAAAATACAGACCAACACCCCTGAATAAAGATATAAAAATCCTCAACAAAATACTAGCAAGGTGGACCCAGCAGCAGAGTAAAAGGATTTTACACTGTGATCAAGTGGGATTTACCCCAGGATTGTAAGATTGGTTCAACATATAAATATTAGTCCATGTGAAACACCACATTAACAGTTTTATTGGTATACATGTATGCATGTATAAATATATTTAATCATCTCAATAGACACAGGAAAAACAAAGTACAACACCCTTTCATGATAAAAGCACTCAACAAATCATAGAGTAGTAAATCTTCCTGACCTTGGATTAAGCAATGGTTTCTCAGACACGACACCAAAGGCACAAGTTACAAAAAAGAGAGAAATTGGACGTCACCAAAATTTAAAACTTTTGTGGATCAAAGGACACCATCAAGAAAGTAAAAAGATAAACAACAGAATGGGAAGAAATATTTGCAAATCATATATCTGATAAGAAATTTATATTCAGAACATATGAAGAACTCTTGCAACTCAATAACAAAAGGGCAGATGACCCAATTTAAAAATGGGCAAAGAATGTGAATATATATTTCCCCAAAGAAGAGATACAAATGGCCAAAAATCACATGAAAAGATGAACAATATATTTAGGCATTAGGAAAATCCAAAGTAAACCCACAATGAAATACTACTTTACACCTACTAGGATAGCTATCATATAAAAAAAAAAAAAAGTGAGGCTGTGGGAAAAAATGGGACCCCACTCGTGGCTAGTTGGAATATAGAATCACCACCACTTTTGAAAATAGTCTGGCAGTTCCTTAAAGTTAAACGTTGAGTTAACATACGACCTAGCATATGGCAACATGTGTTCATACAAAAACTTGTACAAAAATGTTCACAATAGCATTATTCATAACAGCCAAAAAGTGGAAACAATCCAAATGTCTACCAGCTGATTAATGGATACACAATACGTAGTGTATCCATACAATGGAATATTATTCAACCACAAAAAAAGGAATGGGGTACTGGCACATGGTACAACGTGAATGAACGTTAAAAGCATTATGCTTAGAGAAAGAAGCCGGACACCAAAGGCCACCTATTATATGATTTCATTTATATGAAATGCAGAGAATAGGTAAATCCACAGAATGTAGATTAGTGAATGCCAGACTAGGGGAAGATGTTACTGCTAATGGGTATGGGGAGTTTGGGGGTCGATGATGAAAATGTTCTGGAATTAGATAGTGGTGATGATTGTACCACCTTGTGAATTTACTAAAAACCTCTAAATCGTACATTTTTAAATGGTTAATTTTATGGTATGTGAATTATTACCTCAACTTTTTAAAGAAGTTAAAAAAAAAAGCTGTTAGTAACAAGGAAGCTCCCCAGAATAGCCCTAGTGGAAGTAGCAGACACATCAAAGAGGCAAAAAAGAAAAAGGAGTCCACGGAAGAAAAGGGGGAAACCAGGAAAGCATGACGAAATCCCTCTGAAACTATATTTAAAAACCTTTCTGATGTGCTTTAAAAGGTTTAGTCCAAAGGAAGAAAGGAGCAAAAGTCATTACATACCCTTGATTTGTAGGTAAGAGATATAAACGGTAAGAGGTGAGTTCCTTCGTGATCTTTAATAACTGGAAAAAGGCGCCTGCATTGAAATGGGATGCCTGGTCATTGGTGACTCTGACTTGTCACCTGAGTAACTCCTTGACTGGACCCAACGGCCTGCTGCTCACAGCCTGACCCAAGAGGGGCTGGGCAGCACTCTATGTGGTGCAGTGACTGGGTGAGGGAGCCACAGGCACCCACTTCCAGCATCCTCAGGCGCTCTCATGATCATCCAGTGCACATGCAACAACAGTTTCAGTTTAAGAAGACTATTCATCATCATATTTTAAAGCAACATGAATATTTTAAATTAATAATTATAATTAGCATTACTGCATCTCAGAGTCAGTCTTGCACCGAGATAGGCATATTAGGCTCAGTAGCTGAGAGCTTTAGTATAAGTCAGATTCGACTTCTAGTTGGTTTCCTTTTTTATTTTATATTTTACTAAAATAGAAAAACACTCAAACATAATTACAGAGTACTGGGGATGGCAGGAAGTGCTTCTTCCAGACGCTCTGGGTATTTGGATGAAGTGTGAACCCAGGGGTTTTGAGTGAGCTTCACTGGCTGTTTGCAAGGCCTGCCAAAGAGCAATGCCAAACACATGTGCTTTGGGAGCTGGCAGGTTGACGCTCAGCTGGGGGTTCAGTGGTGAGCAGTTTCTAAACAACTCT